GGCTCTGACCTAAGTGGCTGCAAAAATACTTACTGCAGATTTCTGTTTACACTCTGATTGGTGCACAGGAGCAAACAGACAGTGCAATTGTACGTGTATTTACCTTTATGTCACTGTACCTTATATTTTATTCCTTTCTTTAAATCCATAATGGAGCGCGCGTCTCGTGGCACCCAAGCGTCCCGCCTGCTCTGATTGATGCGCGTAAGGAAACAAAATGCAACTCTGCCTGCCCCAGATGACACTTCACCAGTCAGATCTAGGCACAGCTGTCACAGAACATGCTTCAGCCAAGGTAAGTTCACTTAATATTTAAAAAACTTTTTTTGTTGTTGTTAAATATTGTTCAAGGACCTTTGTAACTAGTACTCTGGTGAGTAAGTTTATTAGGTTATTATAATAGGATTATACAGTCTTTATACAAAAACATTTTGTTTAAATGTTTGTCATTCAGCAACACTGAAACAACAGCTTTATTTATTTGTATGTATGTATGCAGAGCTCAGACACCATTCTACAACACTGGCAAAAATATGATTTGGAAGGTATGTAAGGAGTCTTAAAATACAGGCTACACATTTTGACTTTGAAGAAATCTCAAAAAGGCAGCATATATTAAAAAATACCTTTTTATTTGTTTATTTTTTAGACTTAACCATACAACAAACACAATAACGATAACAGGTAAGGGCACACAGAGAAGAAAGTCAGGAATATAATGTAATATGACAAGAGGCATACAACAGTGTTGCCATCAAAACCACTTTGGATCAGAATCTGAGGATACTCTGTAAAAGAGAAAGATTAGAAGTATGTTTAGGCTTATAAAATACATAGAATGAACATGACTAAAGGGAACATTAAAATCAAGAAAAATTTAATTTAAAAAAGCCACTTTAACACATTTACTCTAAATGTCCCTTTGTTTGCAAAGCCATTTCTGCCTTGAACCTATGGAAGCCCTCCGTCTTTTTTAGGATGAAGAGGGATACCTTTGAATGACCGAGAGCAGAAAGAGAAGAAAACTGTTTTAAATGCATTTAATTAAATTGTCTTATATATGATTTACCAATGCATTCAAACTTTTTAAATTAATAATAATTACCTCAGGAGTTAGAACTTCCAGAACGTAGGATGTATTACTTAATTCTGTCATGTCCATCTGTGTGACTCTTTTAATTCTGTCAATGATCCCCTCTGTCTGTTGGCAAAAGGCATTACATTTAGCTTTATTATATTAGTTATATCTGAAGTTAGCTTGTTTCCAAATTATTTGCCATTTTTTAGCAATAGTTGCAATTACTAGTTTGTATTTTTTCACACACACAAAACCATTATTTTACCTGTTGTTCATCAAAAAAAGAAATCTTTCATTAAGTCTCATCTTCAGCTTAGGACAACATGTTGGATGGTTATGCAAAAACATCCTGTTTGATCTTATTTTGC